AGTGTTTTCTATTGGTGCAACAGTGTTTTCTATTGGTGCAACAGTGTTTTCTATTGGTGCAACAGTGTTTTCTATTGGTGCAACAGTGTTTTCTATTAGTGGAACAGAGTTTTCTATTGGTGTAACAGTGTTTTCTATTAGTGGAACAGTGTTTTCTATAGGTGGAACAGTGTTTTCTATTAGTGGAACAGTGTTTTCTATGGGTGGAACAGAGTTTTCTATTGGTGCAACAGTGTTTTCTATTAGTGGAACAGTGTTTTCTATGGGTGGAACAGTGTTTTCTATAGGTGGAACAGTGTTTTCTATTGGTGTAACAGTGTTACAGTATCTTTCAGGCGATTCCTTCAGAGGGTCTCCATGTTAGACTTGATGCTTCAGACAACCAGCAGAGTAGATAGAGACGTTTTCAGCTTCTGTCACGGGACACATTGGGTCAGAACTGTTGGCAGCCTGATGGAAAACTTGGTATAGTTTTGCTAACAATGCTGATAAAATACGTTGAAAACATCTGATTGGTGATCATTTTGTCTTTTACTAAAATAGTAAATGATTTATAGTGTAGAGCTTCTGCTCAGCAGGTTCTTCTTTTCTCTACCATGACAAGTCTTCTGCTCCTATTATGTTTAAGGAGTGTTCACGGCATGAAGGATGATGCGTCAGTAAATTGAACAAATGACTTAATAATCTAACAGATCTAACATTCAGAAAGGCCTTTTGTCTTTAGCTGCTGTTGAATTCAAATAGAGATCTTGATAATGAGTTCTGCACCAAAAATTAGAACATTTTAAGAGCTTTAATCTGCCTTAAATCAGATAAACTGAGCTTAATATTTTGTTGGGTTTTAACTTCACAAAGACCTGCTAATATTTTTTACTGTAAACATTTCACTGAGAACAAGCAAATGTAAACTTACTGATAAAGCAGAGTACAAGTTTATTTGATAAAACATGTTTAAGTAGTGCTGGACGGTATGACCCAAATTATATATCATGGTATTTTCAACAATTATGACGGTATCATGGTATTTGACTGTATTTTACTTTTCGTCACAGCTCAGCTGATAATAAAATATACAAAAGCTGTTTATTGATTAACAAACCATCATCTGCTTAAGTTACTCTCTTTCTGCAACACAGAAACTATTTCCCTCTGCTATGTCTTTTCTTCTTTGCCTGGTTGTAGACAACAGTCATGCATTTTGGTACAGTCGTGAAGGAAGAGGGTTGAGCAAAGATAATTATCGGGTCTATCGTATTGTTACTTAATAAAACTTACCAGGACGACTCGGCCTCTGTGCACCTGTCAACTAAACCATAGTACACAACTACTTCCCCCAGGGKTCCCCCAGGCTTTTACAGTAGAAGCATCATCACCATCACCATACATCAGGCAAATTTTTTGCTCATGAAATCCTTTTCATGCACGTCACTGAAGAGGTGTATACTACATTCAGCGATGGCGAAAATGGGAAGAGTTTATTTTAACGTCAGTCAATATAAGCAGCAGAATCGCCACCTGTCGCCAGTTATTGAGAAGCTGCTCCAACARTAACATTAACTTGCTAATGTGCGTAGCGGAGCTGCGAGGAAAMGTGTTCCTCGTGAAACAGTTCACTGGCGGGTGTGACACAATATTGCAAACGTGTTCAGGCTATTTAAACCAGTACGTTGGTATTCTGATAATTTATTTAATTTTGACAATAAGAACCAGTTTTCGGTACTGATATAGTGTCCGACTCTAAAGTTTAAACCTATTGTCGGGATATACCATCGTACCAAGCTTCTGGAGCTGAATAAAGGTCAGCTGATCTAAGGATGAAGATTGTAGTAAACAGCAGTAATAAAGGAGCAGAATGATGAAAGATAAGCTCCTCCTTCAGATGTACTAGTCAGAACTCATCTGTTGAATGACAGCCCACACCTCCAGCTTTGTGGACATGTTTCACCTTGGCCTTGCCCCAATGACAGGCCCTTCAGTTATATCTGCCCGTAGATTGCTGATGATTGCGATTGCTGTGAAATATTTAGACTTTGCTGAAATTGCTGGCTGAATAGGAAGAAGGCCAAGAGAGTGAGATATCACATGTCAAATAAATTACATGTGTGAAGTGTGGGCTTCTTTCAAGAACAGCTGCTGTGGAACCTAAAACATGTTGATTACTGGAACCAAGCTGCAGAGCGCTTGTAGAGCGAGAACAAAATCACCAGCATGACACTGAAGCTCTGGTGCCTCTCATGTTTGTAGATGGACCTAAAGCAGCAGAGGCTTTAGGGGGAGAGAGAGAGAGCTGACTGTCCTGGCTGGAATAGTCTGGTTCCCCTGGTGCTGGAAAGGTCCAGTATAAAGGTTTCTGTACGAACATGGTGTGAAGGCAGTCTGCTGGTTGCAGGCAGGGTGGAGGRTGCAGGCAGTCCAGGTAAAAGAATCAGGCCAGTGTCCCTGAAACTGCATGGCAGCAAGGTTACACACTGTGGATATCAAACCTGCATGTGACAGGGAACGTGTATGTGAAAGGGAACGTACGTGTGACAAAATCTGCGTGTGACCAAGAACATGCGTGTGAAATGTGCATGTGACAGGGAACATGTATGTGATGGAACGTGCATGCAATTGGGAACATGAATGTAACGGGGAACATGCATGTGACAGGGAACGTACATGTGACAGGGAACGTGCATTCAACAGGGAACATGTTTGTGACGGAATGTCCATGTGACAGGGAACATGTATGTGATGGAACATGCATGCGACAGGGAACGTATATGTGATGGAACATGCATGTGACAGGGAACATGTATGTGATGGAACATGCATGCGACAGGGAACGTATATGTGATGGAACNTATGTGATGGAACATGCATGCGACAGGGAACGTATATGTGATGGAACGTGCATGCGACAGGGAACATTTGTGATGGAACGTGCATGCGACAGGGAACATGTATGCAACAGGGAACATGAATGTGACGGATCATGCATGTGACAGGGAACGTGCATGTGACAGGGAACGTGCATTCGACAGAGAACATGTTTGTGATGGAATGTGCATGCAACAGGGAACATGTATGTGATGGAATGTGCATGTGACAGGGAACATGTATGTGACAGGGAACGTGTATGTGACAGGGAACGTGTATGTGACAGGGAAATTTCATGTGGCAGGGAACTTGTATGCGACGGGGAACGTGTATGTGACAGGGAACGTGTATGTGACAGGGAAAGTTCATGTGATAGGGAACATGTATGTGACAGGGAAAGTTCATGTGATAGGGAACATGTATGTGACAGGGAAAGTTCATGTGATAGGGAACATGTATGTGACAGGGAAAGTTCATGTGATAGGGAACATGTATGCGACGGGGAACGTGTATGTGACAGGGAACGTGTATGTGACAGGGAACGTGTATGTGACAGGGAACGTGTATGTGACAGGGAACATGTAAATGACAGGGAACCTGTATGTGACAGGGAACTTGTGTGTTTTCAGCTCTTACTGGTCACAGGCCACATGTTTCATAAAGCACTGGGTTGATTAAAAAACATCATTTCTAGATGTATTTACAACTCATTCATTTTTGAAGCCAACCAAATGAAGTGCACCATCACAACAGATCCACATGAGTCAACACAAACCTCAGTTCTTGTTCGATTTGTTCCAAACACAGAGATAAACAGCTTCTGTAGGAAATATTACCACTGCTTCCTCCTAATAAATGACAGATCACATCCCTGTCTGTGCCTCAGGAGCCTAAAGGTTAAAAGACAGAACAAAGGGTCACAGAAAGCACAGGCTGAGGTGGACTGTGGTCCGACTGTGTCCGGTTTGACCCGGTTTGTGTGGCAGGAGGGTGCAAGCAGGAGCCCGGGGCTAAGTGAAAATGCCACTCATTCCTGAAGAGTTCCCGGCCTCGTCAAGGTTAGCGGTTTGTCTTTGTGAGTTGAGGGATTGATGCATGAGCCTGTCTGGCGCTGAATTCAAAGTCCAAGGCTGTCACAGGCAGCAGCTCCCTCTCTCCGCCCCCCTCCCCCCCTCTCTCTCTCTTTGCAGGCTATCACAGGGCCTGTCCTTCCCAACTTCTTAGCAGCCTGTCCTTTTGGGAACCTTGAGCAAGGACACAGCGTCTGGTGCAGTAAGCCCGTGCAGAAGGGCGGGGGGTAGGGGGAGGCTTTATGTAACGCTCTGCTTTAAACATGGCTGTGTGACTTCATGACAGTGTGGCGCAGAGCAGCATGCCCCCCCACACGCTCAACAAGGAGAGGGCAGAGAAATCCCCTGCAACTTAATTATTTCTTTCTCTTTTAAAAGCTTTGGTTTTAAATTAAATTTTCCCAGGCAATTTAGTAAAGAGGAGTTTTCAGAATTTATGAATGAGTGATGGATATATAGCTCAGGAGGGACGGGGAACAGGCATGTAGASTAAAGCTTATGGATCTGTGGGAGGTTTAAAGTACAAAGGTTTACTCATATTCAGTCTTTAAACTTTGTCCCTGAGAGCCAGTCTTTCAAAATAAAAGCCAAGCATTTCTCAAAGGAAATGCATATCTCCCACCACTTTTGAACAACATCGATCTTGTGTTGAAAAAGAGACAGAGTTATAGCTGTTTTTATAAACCTAGTAAATGATCTCACATGATGTTGTGACATGGTAAACRTATCTGTGTCAGTTACTGCCATGACAAGATGCTGCTCCGTATCTGTAAAATCTGTTAGCAGCCATCTTGGATTGAGCTGAGAACACGATCAGTCTTGAAAATCGAAATGTTGCAGATTAAAGTCTTCTTACAACATCAACACATGATTTGAGAAAACTGAACTGTGTACTTTTACTAAGATCATGTATACAGCATACTCCTATTTAAGTAAAAACCTTTGACCTGGGTGGTCAGGGGTTCTCAAGCCATTTGGGTCTGGGGACCCCTTACAAGGGTGAAAACATTCCAGGGACCCCCTCATAAACCCCATGCTGTTTTAAAAGATTATTTATT